TGTATACCACACTCAACATGGACCAGTGGAAAAGACAGAAAATGATAGAGCAGCATGTTAGAGCTAAAGGCTGTTAATGATAGACTCTGTGCACTTTGAAGCTCTTTTTCTGAAAAGAAATCACACAAACTCTTTAAATAACACTTTATATGTATTAAATAACCAGGAGACCAGAGAACAGATTCTGATTCTAATTCTGATTCTGATTCTAATTCTGATTCTCAGATCAGAGAAGTTGCTCAGAGTCACAGAAGGCAGCTGCTTCCTCTCAGGAAGCGACTCCTTTTAACATTTAAAGAAGCATTTTATCCAGTCTGCCACATCATTTGATGTTACATCCTACATGTTAGCAGATGATTAGGCGTCCATGGCTCCAGCCTGATCAAAATATTCCGCTTCATGCTTAGCTGAAGGACGCCGCTTTCACTCCGTTTGTCACGCAGAGAATGAAAATTATAACTGTTTATCCCGACAGAGAAACTGTGTTAATTAAATTAGCTATTGTGGAAAACATCACTTCTGACCCGTAACAGGCAGCTAATATTAAGGTGCAATAAACTTACGCATCCTCAATGGGTTAGGGTTAGGATTACTAGGCTATCAGATCATCTCCAACCAGCTGATGTTCCTCTGAGAACAGATTATTCCGATATTTAGGATCCGTGGACTGAAGCCGACCTCCTGGATGCGGCTGCAGGTGGAAAACTGATGATAAATCAGAGATGGGTGATAGGAAAGGGGAACTTCATAATCATCATCATCATCGTCACCATCGTTTGATCCAAAGTGGATTTAATGGGAGACGACCAAGGAGGAACCATTGAAGGGAGGCACCCATCAAAACCAGACTGGAGTTCACCAAACTACATGTTGACCAGAAACAAGTCTTCTGGGAGAATGTCCTCTGGACATGGAGACAGACATGGAGACATGCTGTGGAACATGGAGGAGGCTCAGCTGAGATGCCTGCTTTCTGATGAGGAGCGGTCTGACTGACAGGAGCAGGAACCAATGATGGCCGAGACTGAAGCCACCAGGAACCATCATTTCATTCCAGGCCTGTTTATGTTTTAAATCATTCTGGATGAAAACCAACGTCTGACTTTATTCATTTTATGCATTAATTCTTTTGTTAGTATTTCTGACACTATTATGTTGTAAAGTTTGTGTTATAATCAGAACTGAAAGTTCAAATCATTGAATCATCATGGAGGAAGAAGCTGATCTGATGGTGTTAAATGCCTCTCCACCTAAAAGCGTCTCACTTATCAGAAAAACCTCAAATATGAACAGTATGTTCTGTGCTTAAAGGAAACTGGTCTGTGTTTACATTTCTTTCACACAAACTGGTTAAACTGGTCTAAGGAGTCTAGACTCTCAAACATCCTGCTCTTATTTTGGGACGTAATGTCCAAGAAAATCACCAGAAATACGACAAACATGGAATAGAAGAAAAACTGCTCTAATAGAGTTTATTCAGTTTAAATATTTTTGGTTTCTAACAGAGGGATGACTGAGGGATGACTGCCTCAGGACCTCAGGAGCTCCGCTTCCTCTGAACATCTGAACTTAGGAAGCTCCACATTTCCAGCCGCTCTTTCCTCACAGCAATGATCAAAAACTGCAACATGTTTAAAAGTACGGAAGCGTATTACATTCACCAAAGATTAAAAAAATCTGACAGTAATTATGAGATCATATCTATATATTTGGTGATGCTTACTTGAGCCCGTAATGTAGAATCTCTCATAACACTGGTGATCATGATGACTTATTAAGAATATCTGTATCTGTTCCATTGAACAGTTCTCTGGTCTAACATGAAATGCGTTGAAGTTCCGCTCCTGTTTATCACTCGTACTCGTACTCGTAGTCGTCGTCTCCCGCTTTATCCGGAACGGGTCGCGGGGGCAGCAGACTAAGCAGAGACTCCCAGACTTCCCTCTTCGCAGACACCTCCTCCAGCTCTGTTGGGGGAAGCCCTAGGCGCTCCCAGGCCAGTTGAGAGACATAGTCTCTCCAGCGTGTCCTGGGTCGTCCCCTGGGCCTCCTCCCGGTGGGACGTGCCTGGAACACCTCCCGAGGGAGGCGTCCAGGGGTGCATCCGAAGAAGATGTCCTAGCCACCTCAACGGACTCCTCTCGATGTGGAGGAGAACCGGCTCTACACTGAGCCTCTCCCGAATGACCGAGCTCCTCACCCTATCTCTAAGGGAGAGCCCAGCCACCCTGCGGAGAAAGCTCATTTCAGCCGCTTGTATCCGGGATCTCGTTCTTTCGGTCATGATCCAGATTTCATGACCATAGGTGAGGGTAAGAACGTAGACCGACCGGTAAATTGAGAGCTGTTTATCACTTCATCAATAAATCCATCTTTACCTCTGGGTGTAGGCAACTATCGTCCAACAATTAGTCCCTGAGAGGAGACACTGGGGTTACTACATTCCATAAAGTGCAGCAGTGATTGTTGGGACTCAAAATGGTAGAAAAACTGGAACCATTTATTGGAAGGTCAAATTCACATGCTGTCCAATAACACCATGCAGATCATCATCATCATCATCATCATCATCATCATCATCATCATCATCATCACAGCGTCTGAGGCCCCGTCCACACGAAGTCAAAACGAACACGAAACGCTAATATTTTCCAGAACGTTTTTCGTAAAGATGGAGACGTAAAATAAATGTGAGCGTCCACACGAATGCATGAAAACGCTGCAAAATGTATGCCAGGCCTGTAAGTGGCGCTGTGGTGCCAAAGCAAAAATAGGCGACGAAATGTTGGGCATGCGCACTAATATTTATACATGGTTGCCCTGGGGGTCCATTTTCGTGGTTTAGTCAAATTCAGGTGCTGAACTATGTCGTCGATATTGCTCTGTTCTTCCTGGAGATATTCCAGAAGAAGAAGATTCTGTTGTAAGCCCGACAGCAGGGTGAGTAGCATTAGCAGCAACCATTCAACACAGTACGGCGCCATTGTTGTTGTGATACTGTGTCGCGCATGCGTGTTTAGAGGCGACGCTATGACGCATGCGTGTAAAAAAAATATGCGGTTAGAGCATAAGATGGAAACGCGAAAACGGCGTTTCAAAATCTTCCCACTCTGAAGGCTGAATAAAAAAAAAAGATTGTTTACAGACCCCCGAAACGCCGGCTTCGTATGGATGAGAGGATGGTTTGGTGAAAAATGTGTGCGTTTAGGCCAGGGTTTGGCTTCGTGTGGACGGGGCCTTAAAGCATTAACCCCTGAATATGCTGCCTCATCTCAGCCTTATTTATTCCGTCCTGAGCCGTGGAGTCGATGTGTGAATCTGTGTGTCTGTTTTGGCTTTTCCTGAGTGTTTATGCGCATGATAGCTTGATACGCACATAGGAATCTATGTGGAAATCTGTGTTACATGGTCTGAGCTAATTTATCTAAATAGGAAAAAGATGTTATTGCCAATTTTACTTGGTGCCTGGATCTGCTCTTTTACCTCAGCTTACCATTTTTTATGTGTGCAAGGGTTGAAGCTGCAGCATTTTGGATCAGCTGAAGGCTTTTAACTACAGTTTGTGGACTTCCTGATAGTAAAGAATTACAATAGTCCAGCCTTGAAGTAACAAATGCATGGACTAGTTTCTCAGCATCACCCCTGGACAGGAGATTGCTCATTTCTGCAATATTCCTCAGATGAAAGAAGGAAATTCTAGGAACCTCTTTGAGCTGGGATTTAAATGACAGGTCCTGATCAAAAACAACACCAAGATTTTTTACTTTATCATCTGAATTCAGTTTAATCCCATCCAAATGAAGTGACTGACTAATCAGCTTCTTTTTCAGAGACTCTGGTCCAAAGACTATAACTTCTGTTTTGTCTGCTTTCAGAAGGAGAAAGTTAAGAGTCATCCAGGTTTCTATGTCTTCAGACATGCCTGTAATCTATGTAATGGGTTAGCTTCATCTGGATTATAGACAGATATAGCTGGGTATCATCAGTATAACAGTGAAAATTAATCCCATGCTGTCTAATAACTCTACCGATTGGGAGCATGTATAAAGTAAAGAGAATTGGTCCTAGCACTGATCCCTGTGGTACTCCACAGGTAACCTTTGAGTGTGTTGAAGATCTATCATTAACATGAACAAACTGAAATCGATCGGAAAGATCAGATTTAAACCAGTCTAGAGCTGTTCCTTTAATTCCTACTAATAATCCAGGCTACACAGCGTAGCCACTCAACCTGAAAACTTCTAAAACGTTTTTCCCACTGGCTGAAAAAACAGTTTAAGGCAAACAATCGCCTTTTAGTGGCAGTGGGAACAGCTGACTTACCCATGTTAACCTGAGTCTAACAACTTGTCAAGTGACCCGGTTTAAAATTGCTTTCAAGCAGCTCGGCTTTGATCGGCATACAGAGAGAACATAGGACCCGGGTCAACCCGCTAATATACCTGGTATCGTCGAGCACAACATAGTGACATCATCACGCCAGTCGCTTTTGATCTAACAAGTCAAAATAACTATGCTTACAGTTGAATAACATGGAGAGGGAATTAATAAATGACACCCCTGGCTCTCCTCCATGTTGCACTCCATTGTTTACTGATTTCTGTGGCAGTGGTGACATCATCAACACTAATCCAGCGTGATGGCAGGTCAACTTGTGTTAAACCTAGGTTGATCGGCTAATTTCAGAGAGAAAGCGGCTTTAGAAAGCGAGTGGCTGTGTCTGTTTTTAATGATCTATTGCTTGTGTTTGTGAGAACTTTGACAAAGTAGATATCAAGGTGAGAAGCACAATCAACATTTATTGTGTTTATTTTTAATCAAGAGGAAGTTGAACGGAGTCATTGGGCCGCCTGATCAGGAACCCCAGAGCAGACCTGACCATGCATGCTATGAACATACATTTTCAATTATTTATGCTTTTAAATAAATGATGGTGGATTGTGCCTAAACTAGCATGAAGAAACATGTCCAATACTATCTCTATTCTTTCTGTTTTTCAGAGTCTAAATCTCAGCTCTCTGGTGAGTCTGTTTCTGTCCACATTGCCTACAACCATTCAATACTTCCCTCTTCTGCATCACTGGCAGATGAACAGGAAGTCAGCATCATTTAGCAGATTTTACTGAAGAAGTGAATTCATGTCCATTTCCCTGCAGACTGTGGTCGGCCACAGCTGAACACCAGGATCGTTGGAGGACAGGCAGCTCCTGCTGGCAGCTGGCCCTGGCAGGTCAGTCTGCACAAATCATCTCACTTCTGTGGAGGATCCCTGATTAACAACGAATGGGTTCTGACTGCGGCTCACTGCGTCTCAAAGTAAGTCCCAGCAGGATCCAGTCTGACGCCTTGATGATGGAAAGTTCTGGTTCCACAGCAGGATCCGATCTGAGGCCTTGATGATGGAAAGTTCTGGTTCCACACAGACCGTTGATTTTAGAGACCTAAAAGAAAAAACTTACATTAAGATTCCGAATTTCTCCTGGCTTTCTGAAGGAGTAGATATTGGAACTGATCACAATCTGGAGGAATTCAATGAATTCATAGAACTTCTGGTTATTCAGTGAGCTACAGTAGATCATTTCCTAGAAAGAAAAAGACAAACTAATAAAATATCTGAGTGCACCCTAGGAGCACACAGGGTGGTTATCACAGATCCTTCTCCTGGCTGTTGCTTGACTTTATAACCCTCATTTCTCCAAACAGACCTAATTTATGTTTTAGGGACATGGTTCCTTTATCTGATCAAAAATGTATTTCTTCTAATGCATACATTATTTGCACAGTTTGTATTGGGATCAATTTATTCTATTCAGTTTATTTCTTTAGCACCAATTCATAACGCATCTCATCTCAAGGCACTTTATAGATCCAGATCAACCAGATCATCCAGTCAGATTGATTCAAAGTTTTCTATCTAAGGAAAACCAGTTAATTTGCATCGACTCATTGACTCTTCAGCAATCCCTCACACTAATCATGCTTGTGGCGACAGTGGAGAGGAAAAACTCCCTTTAAACAGGAAGAAACCTCCAGCAGAACCAGGCTCAGTGTGAGCGCCCATCTGCTGAGGCCCACTGGGGTTCAAGGAGACAGAAGCAGACATAGAAAAAGAAGCATAGATCCAAAAAGCAACTGTCAACCAGCTCCACAGGCGGCCCCGTCCAGGAAACACACAGCCAGGCAGACGAGCTCAGAGCCAGCTCCCATGACAGAGGATGAAGAGAGCACATCCAGTTAGTCACAGTCAGAGAAACAGGACTACACTGGAAAACAGGCCAAGCTCCAACATCTAGAAACAAAGGTGTTGATGGCAGCAGCACAGCTGATATTTCTCTCCAGGATGGAGTCACAGCCAAACAGGAACAGACCAGATGAAGCTACTATGAGAAAAAGCAGAGAGAGCAGAACGTTAGAGATTGAACAAACAGATTCTGCAGAGTGGGAGAATAGAGATAGAATGAAGCAGAATGATGAAAAAGGGGTCCCTATGTCCTCCAGCAGTCTAAGCCTATAGCAGCAGAACTATATAGATAGCTCAGGATAACCTGAGCCACTCTAACTAGAAGCTTTATCAAAAAGGAAAGTTTTAAGCCTAGCCTTAAAAGTAGACAGGGTGTCTGCCTCACGGACTAAAACTGGTAGTTGGTTCCACAGGAGAGGAGCCTGATAACTAAAAGATCTGCCTCCCATTCTACTTTTAGAAATTCTAGGAACCACTAGTAAACCTGCAGATTGAGAGCGAAGTGCTCTGTTAGGAACATAAGGAACAATCAGATCTCTGATATAAGACGGAGCTTGGCCATTTAAGGCTTTATATGTGAGAAGGAGGATTTTAAATTCTATTCTGGATTTAACAGGAAGCCAATGAAGAGAAGCCAGGATAGGCGAGATATGATCTCTCTTTTTCATTTTCATCAGAACTCTGGCTGCAGCATTTTGGATCAGCTGAAGGCTTTTAACTACAGTTTGTGGACTTCCTGATAGTAAAGAATTACAATAGTCCAGCCTTGAAGTAACAAATGCATGGACTAGTTTCTCAGCATCACCCCTGGACAGGATATTGCTCATTTTTGCAATATTCCTCAGATGAAAGAAGGAAATTCTAGAAACTTTTTTGATCTGGGATTTAAATGACAGGTCCTGATCAAAAATAACACCAAGATTTTTTACTTTATTATCTGAATTATAGTTTTTTTTTATAAAATGTTTTATTGTACTTGGAAATATAAATTTCTTTATCTGCAAAATTCTAACTACCTGAATATTTTTTCTAACTGGCTGCTTCTTTCTGGTTTTTAGTTTAAATGTTCGGTCAGTGAGAATTAATCAATGGATCTTTATTTATACCTAAAACTAATACGTTGGCAGGGAGTTAAGGAATTTTCACATGAAAATTACTCTGAATTAAAAACACTCATCATTTATTGAACAGGATGGAATAATTTCAGATTTAAAGAACTTTTCTTTTAACATTTGTCATTCAGTCTAAGTATTCAGCCTCTTTCTGTTATTTTCCTGAGATGTTTGGTTATACTTTTTTATTTCACACTCACAGATTAAACATCTGATGTCACATGTATGACGATAGAAATCATAAATGTATTCATGTTTATTGACTTACATTTACAAATAAGCTTTCTCTCCCTGATTATTTAATGATAAGAGATTATTGCAAGAAAAACATTTTAAATAAGACTTTACAACTTATAAAGGTGAAACGACTATAAATGATGACGGCAGATTGAGCAGATTTTAGTCTTATTGAAGGATTACTGGGTTTGCTTCATCAGGAAGGAAACAGGATTACATTTAAAAGAAGATTTTTATAGATCTGATGGTTTTTGTAGATCTGATCGTTTTTATAGATCTGATCGTTTTTATAGATCTGCAGTCGCATCCTGCCTCATCATCACACTTCATTCATCACATACATGTTCTTTGAAAATAATGAGACTTCAATGGCTCCAGCCTCGTCAAAGTAACACACAGCACTCTTTATATATAGAATTAGATCATATATAAAGTTTATCATATTAAAGCTCATTGTTTGTTTAATCATTGGATTTGGTCCACTCGCCCAGTTTTTATAGAGTTTTTAGCTAATCACTACTTTGGTTTGGAGAATAGTGATTTTCTCTGCAAACTAAAATTCATGCCTTTTTGTCTCGTTACATGATGACCTCAGTGGAAATCCATCCGGGATCACGGTCTATCTGGGCCGTCAGAGTCAGCAGGGGTCCAATCCCAATGAAGAGAGACGGACAGTAACGCAGATCATTGTTCATCCAGGCTTCAGCTTTTCCACACTTGACAACGACATTGCCCTAATGAAGCTCTCCTCATCTGTAACCTTTAACTCCTACATCTCACCTGTCTGCCTGGCTGCTTCCGACAGCAGCTTCTACAGTGGAGTCAACTCATGGGTCACCGGCTGGGGCAACATCGGGTCCAGTGGTAGGTCACGAAAAGTCCTGATGTCAGTCCAGGAGAACCTTTGTTAGAGCTGAAATATTCTGTGATAGCCCAGGAATGTCTGACAGCCACAGTTTTCCCTTCGGGAGGAATGGGACTAAATTCCAGTAAACTACTGTAAGAAGCTTCTTGAAGGGAACCCAGAACACTTGCCCCTGGTTGCACTGAATAATCAGGACACGGATGGAAGATTTATAGAGAATTTCAAACTCTTTCTCACCCAGTTCATGATGATTTTATCATTTTAAACTGAATCATTTTAATAACACTAATTCAAGCAGAAAACAGTCTGATTTCTTTTCAGATGTTGGACTTAAGGTGTATGTTGTTTTTAAACAGTGGGTGTAAATGTTTGATTTGGACTTTAAGTGCATCATTTTCTCACTGTTTAGATCAACTTCTGTATGCTTTACCTTCAATATAAATAGTGTGAATTTATGTCTCCTCAGCACCTCTGCCTTTTCCACAAAACCTGATGGAGGTGGAGGTACCAGTTGTGGGAAACAGGGGATGTAAATGTAGCTATGGAGCTAGCACCATCACCAGCAATATGATATGTGCTGGCTTAACTGTGGGAGGAAAGGATGCCTGCCAGGTAAACATCTTTGCTGCTAGCTGCTGGGTTCAAGCAGATCATTGCATCTCACCACAACATGTTTCTCATTTTAAAGGGAGACTCTGGAGGTCCAATGGTGAGCAAGCAGAGAGACCGCTGGATTCAAGCAGGAATTGTTAGTTTTGGACAAGGTTGTGCATTGCCAGATTTCCCTGGAGTCTATTCTAGAGTTTCCCAGTATCAGACCTGGATCAACGATCATATAACTACCAACCGTCCAGGCTTTATTACCTACACACCCGATGAAACTACAACTGACCCTGACCTCAGCGTCTCCTGTGCAGATGTACCCCCAATTATATTACCAACCACTACCACCACAACTACCACCACTACTACCACTACTACTACTGCTACCACAACTACTACTACAAGCATTATGAAACCAAAACCTACAACTGGCTCAGTAGCAACAAATCTAAACACAACCAATGTGACCAAGCCAACAACCAAACCTATAACCACCACAGCAACATCCAGTACAAAGACCACCACCACCTCTCCACAGCCCACCATCCCCAGGCGTGAGTACTTATCATTTTCAGGATACACACTGAGACATTTGGTGTCATTTTTTTCTCTCTGTGCTGATTTTGGGGTTCAGCTGCTTGGTCTTAAACCAACGCCTGGGCAGGATTTTCTCGGGAATGGTGTCTGACTACTGTACCGTGATTGGACAGGATTTAGATAGGCATGTTTAGTTTGGAAAAGCAGAGATACCTCACTTATCTTTCCAACTTAAAACTTTAGTTGTGCAGTTCACTAGTGATTTAGGCGCTCACTTCTTTATGAAACTCATAACCAAACCAATGACTATAACTGGCTCAGTAGTAACAAATCTCAGCACAAGACAACATCTGCTCACCTGTTTCCCCAATAAATGACCCTAGTGGGGCATTCCCACCTCTGTGGCCCTGCCCCCCTGCTGTGTTGCAGTCTTTCTAAATATTGCCTGAGCGACTATGAACTCTTTTCTGGTCTGCGCCTCTACTTTCAGTTCTCCACCTGCCCTGTGCTTAGCTCCCTCTTTGTGCCCCCTCTCCCACCCACGCTGCATCGATCTTCAGTGATGTGTGTTAAAACAGGGCGATCTTCGGCAGCTGAGCTTCTCATGGACTGTGAATTCTTGAAAGAAGTGACATCTTTTTTCTTGCTCTTGCCACCTTGAGAACAATAATAATTGCATCTGTTCTTGTGGAATATGTAGAATAAAAACTGAGTGCTGATATCTTAGTGTTTTAGCATTTTAATTGACTGTTGTTTTACCCTTTTCTCTCCAGCTCTAGTTTGTGGGCGAGCTCCACTAAACACCCGTATTGTAGATGGAAGCCCGCTGGTGACTGAGGGTAAGTGGCCGTGGATGGCGAGCTTGCAGCATTTAGGGAAGCATGTGTGTGGAGGGACGCTGGTGTCAGAGGACGCCGTTCTGACCAACGCCAAATGCGTTTCAAGGTGAGCTCAGCTGAGAATGGTGGCCATTTGTGTGACTTGATTTGATTAAAATTTGCTGATTTGTTTCATTTCCTGTCTGAATTATTCTTTTTTAATTGAATGAAATTCAAATTAGAAAAGAATACTCTTACCAGCCACTTTATTACATACGGCTTGCTAGTACCAAGCTGGACTCCCTTTTGTCTTCAGAACTGCCTTAATCCTTATGGCTTCAAATTCAACAAGGTGCTGTAAACATTCCTCTAAGAGTTTGGTCCATTTTGACATACTAGCATCACACAGGTGCTGCAGATTCATCAGCTGCTCATCCATGACGAGAATCTCCCGTTCCACAAATCTTAAAGGTGGATTGAGATGTGGTGACTGTGGAGCAGACATGGGCAATGTGGAGTCAACAAGTCATCTCCATGTCATGTATTGGTTCTACCCAGCCAATTAACCAGGTGAGTCCAATCTGCACAGGTTAATTCACGGTGAAGATTGGACTCACCTGCTTCAGTGGCTGGGTAGAAGCAATACATGACATGGAGATGACTTGTTGACTCCACATTGCCCATGTCTGCTGTGGAGGCCATGAAAGTACAGTGAACTAATTTTCATTTGTTAGAAAAGAGTTTGCGATGATTTTCGCTTTATGACTTGGCGCATTACTCTGCAGGAAGTAGCCATCAGAAGTGGATACACTGGTCATAATGGGATGCACATGGTCAGCAACAATACTCAGGTATTTTGTGGCATTCACATGATACTAGAGGGTCCAAAGTGTGCCCGGAAAATATCCCCCAAACGGGTACACCATTACCACCAGCTTGAACCACTGGTACAAGCAATGATAGATCCATGCTTTCCTGTTGTTGAAGCTAATTCTGACCACTAATGTTCAAATGTCACAGCAGAAATCAAGGTTCATCAGACTAGACAAGGTTTTCTATCGTTAATGGAGAAATGTTTCCACCAATACTATTTCTGCAGTTGTTTGGTCCTAATCAACCATTTCTTTGTCCCTCAGCTCCCTCAATGGGTCTGAGTATACCGTTGTGTTGGGTCGTCTGAAGCAGAACGGATCAAACCCTAATGAGCAGACTTTCAATGTGGCCAACATCACTTTGAGCAATCTAACAGGTTCCAACATTGCATTGCTTCAGCTGTCCACCAAACCCATCCTAAACAATTATGTTCAGCCCATCTGCCTGGAAAATGGCAGAAGCTTCTCAGCTGGATCTACATGCTGGGCCACAGGCTGGAGTTCTGGGAATGGAGGAGGTAAAATCACAGAGTGACTGCATTATCAAATCTACATGACTGATCACTACCATCAAATTCTGGATATTATCAAACACATTTCTTTTCCATATTTTAGAAGAGCAAGTTCTTCTGGAGTTCAAGACCACTGTTGTTGAATGTGAGAATATATCATCTGCTGACAGCATATGTACCCAGGTGTTTACATTGGAACAGGTGAATATTTCAACATTATTGTTATTATGTTATATATTGATATACATTTCACTAATTCTACAAAAATGGCTGGAAAGGCCAAAATATTTCAGGTCCTTTGATCTTAGAAGGTTCTGGGTTCGATTCCCAGCCCAGGATCTTTCTGCATGGAGTTTGCATGTTCTCCCTGAGCATGCGTGGGTTCTCTCCGGGTACTCCAGCTCCCTCCCACAGTCCATTAACATGACTGTCGGGTTAATTGGCTTCTCTAAATTCTCCTTAAGTGTGAGTGTGTGCGAGAATGGTTGTTTGTCCTGTTTGTCTCTGTGTTGCCCTGCGATGGACTGGAGACCTGTCCAGGGTGGACCCCGACTCTGGCCCGTGGACCGCGGGAGATAGGCACCAGCACCCCTCACCACCCCTGCTGGGATAAGCATGACAGAAAATGGATGGATGGGTGGATGATCTTAGAGGAAAACCAGAGACAGATTTTAGAATAGATCAGCACTACCTGATACCAAGGAAGGCCAGAAAGTGTTTGCTGTTGTGGAAACCCATATAACAAAACCGACAAGTTCATCTTAAAGAAAGCTTGTTTTGTAACAGAGCCAGTGAGATGGGTTGAGGAACAGTGTGTGGAAGTCTAAGAGGGAAACCAACCAACCAAACCCACCACAGTCTCAGTCAAATGAACATTTCATCAGGAGAATAAAATACCAGTTGTTTTGAATCAGGTCTAGTTGATCGGCACTAGGTCAAGTTGTTCGGCACTAGGTCAAGTTGTTCACCGCCAGGTCCAGTTGTTTTAAACCAGGTCCAGTTGATTTGCATCAGGTCAAGCTATTTTTGGTGCCAGGTCCAGTTGATTTGCAGCAGATGCAGCTGTCTGGTACCAGGTGCAATTGTTCAGGATCAAGTCGAGTTGTTTAGCACAAAGTCCAGTAGATGGGCATCAGGTCCAGTTGTTCAGCACCAGATCCAGTTGTTTTGCCCAACGTCCAGTTGTTAGGCACCATGCCCAATTTTTCGGCACCAGGTCAGTTGATTTGCACAGGTCCAGTTTTTGGTACCAGGTCCAGTTGTTCTGCATCAGGTCCAGTTGTTTGGCACAAGTTCCAGTTGTTCGGAATCAGGTCCAGTTCTAAAGCATCAGGTCCAGTTGATTGGCATCAGGTCCAGTTGATTTATATCAGATCCAGTTGGTTTGCTGCAGGTGCAGTTGTTCGGCCAAGGTCCGGTTGTTCAATATCAGGTCCAGTTGTTTGGCATCAAGTCCAGTAGATTTACACCAAGTCCAGTTGATTTGCATCAGGTCCAGTTTTTCTGGCATCATGTTCAGTTGATTTGCACCAAGTCAAGTTGTTCGGCACCAGGTCCAGTTGTTCAACATCAAATTCAGATGATCTGCACCAGGTCAAGTTGTTCGGCACTAGGTCCAATTGTTCAACATCAAGTCCAGTTGTTTGGCATCAAGTCCAGTTGATTTGCACCAGCTCTAGTTGTTTGGCAGCAGGTTCAGTTGTTTGGCATCAGGTCCAATTGTTTTGCACCAAGTCCAGTTGATTTACATCAGGTCCAGCTATTTAGTCCCCAGGTCCAGTTGATTTGCAGCAGGTGCAGCAGTCTGGCACAAGGTCCAATTGTTCAGGACCAGGTTGTTTGACACCAGGTCCAATTGTTTGGCATCAGATCTAGTTGTTCCGCATCATGTCCAGTTATTCAGCATCTGGTCCAGTTGTTTGGCACCAGGTCCAGTTGTTCAGGTGCAGTTGTTTGACACCAGGTCCAGTTGTTCAGCACCAGGTCATTTTTTTCAGCATCATGTCCAGTTTATTTGCACCAGGTCCGGTTGTTTGGCACGAGGTCCAGTGGTTCGGCATCATGTCCAGTGGTTCGGCATCATGTCCAGTTGTTGGGCACCGTGTCCAGTTGTTCGGGAACCATATTCAGTTGTTCGGCACCAGGTCCATTTTTTGTTTGGCATCAGGTCAAGTTGATGTGCACCAGGTCCAGTTGTTTGGCACCAGGTCCAGTTGTTTGGCACCAGGTCCAGTTGTTTGGCACCAGGTCCAGTTGCACGACATCAGGTCCAGTTGTTCAGCACCAGGACCAGTTGTATGAAATCAGGTCCAGTGGTGCAGCATCATGTCCAGTTGTTTGGCATCGTGTCCAGTTGTTCAGCACCATGTTCAGTTGTTTGGCACCAGGTCCATCTTTTTGGCATCAGGTCAAGTTGATGTGCAGCAGGTGCAGCAGTCTGGCACAAGGTCCAATTGTTCAGGACCAGGTTGTTTGACACCAGGTCCAGTTGTTCAGCACCAGGTCATTTTTTTCAGCATCATGTCCAGTTTATTTGCACCAGGTCCGGTTGTTTGGCACGAGGTCCAGTGGTTCGGCATCATGTCCAGTGGTTCGGCATCATGTCCAGTTGTTGGGCACCGTGTCCAGTTGTTCGGGAACCATATTCAGTTGTTCGGCACCAGGTCCATTTTTTGTTTGGCATCAGGTCAAGTTGATGTGCACCAGGTCCAGTTGTTTGGCACCAGGTCCAGTTGTTTGGCACCAGGTCCAGTTGTTTGGCACCAGGTCCAGTTGCACGACATCAGGTCCAGTTGTTCAGCACCAGGACCAGTTGTATGAAATCAGGTCCAGTGGTGCAGCATCATGTCCAGTTGTTTGGCATCGTGTCCAGTTGTTCAGCACCATGTTCAGTTGTTTGGCACCAGGTCCATCTTTTTGGCATCAGGTCAAGTTGATGTGCACCAGGTCCAGTTGTTTGGCACCAGGTCCAGTTGTTTGGCACCAGGTCCAGTTGTTGGGCATCGTGTCCAGTTGTTCGGGGACCATGTTCAGTTGTTCGGCACCAGGTCCATTTTTTGTTTGGCACCAGGTCCAGTTGTTTGGCACCAGGTCCAGTTGTACGACATCAGGTCCGGTTGTTCAGCACCATGTTCAGTTGTTCGGCACCAGGTCCAGTTGTTGGGCACCGTGTCCAGTTGTTCGGGAACCATGTTCAGTTGTTCGGCACCAGGTCCATTTTTTGTTTGGCACCAGGTCCAGTTGTTTGGCACCAGGTCCAGTTGTTCGGCACCAGGTCCTGTTGTACGACATCAGGTCCGGTTGTTCAGCACCATGTCCAGTGGTTCGGCATCATGTCCAGTTGTTGGGCACCGTGTCCAGTTGTTCGGGAACCATGTTCAGTTGTTCGGCACCAGGTCCATTTTTTGTTTGGCATCAGGTCAAGTTGATGTGCACCAGGTCCAGTTGTTTGGCACCAGGTCCAGTTGTTCGGCACCAGGTCCAGTTGCACGACATCAGGTCCAGTTGTTCAGCACCAGGACCAGTTGTATGAAATCAGGTCCAGTGGTGCAGCATCATGTCCAGTTGTTTGGCATCGTGTCCAGTTGTTCAGCACCATGTTCAGTTGTTTGGCACCAGGTCCATCTTTTTGGCATCAGGTCAAGTTGATGTGCACCAGGTCCAGTTGTTTGGCACCAGGTCCAGTTGTTTGGCACCAGGTCCAGTTGTTTGGCACCAGGTCCAGTTGTTGGGCATCGTGTCCAGTTGTTCGGGAACCATGTTCAGTTGTTCGGCACCAGGTCCATTTTTTGTTTGGCACCAGGTCCAGTTGTTTGGCACCAGGTCCAGTTGTTGGGCATCGTGTCCAGTTGTTCGGGAACCATGTTCAGTTGTTCGGCACCAGGTCCATTTTTTGTTTGGCACCAGGTCCAGTTGTTTGGCACCAGGTCCAGTTGTTCGGCACCAGGTCCTGTTGTACGACATCAGGTCCGGTTGTTCAGCACCATGTTCAGTTGTTCGGCACCAGGTCCTTTTTTTGGCATCAGGTCAAGTTGATTTGCACCAGGACCAGTTGTACGACATCAGGTCCAGTTGTTCGGCACCAGGGCTAGTTGTTTTGGCACCATGTTTAGTTGACTTGCACCAGGTCAATCAATCAATCAATAAAGTCAGTCAATCAATCAATCAATGAGATGTCCAGGGAGGGGGGTGCTGACCCTTGTCCCTCTTCCTTTTCTCTGATAACAATAACAGGAACATAAACTTCTCTCTGATTCTGAATTACCTTCCCTGTCCAGCAGAGCCGCATATCTCACCGCATGTTTTGAAGTCCACTCTCTCATAAATTCTCTCCATGTGGTGAAATGTGCACCAATTTTATTTCTCCTTTTATAACCGTTTTTTTTCTTCCATTTTTTTATTTTGCTTTTCACTCAATATGAAATATCGATGTTCCTCCATTGCAACGGAAAGTGGGAGATGGAGGCTTCTCTTATCTAAAATACCCACACAGCAGGGCATCTCCCGTTGGGTGCACCACCCCGGATGTATTTATAAACTACTAGTTCTAAGCTCTGGGAATGCTCTCATTTTTTGATCATGTTATCAGACTTTCGCAGAATATGTTTTTATTAAAGCAATACTGGATGGTAGCAAAGCTCTGCTTCCCCCTCCGGAGGTGCTGGACGGTTTCCCAGACCAATAGTCTTTCTCCATGGCGCTCCGCCTCATGGTAGCTGCATGCTGCCTCAGGAGTCACACAGCCAGCCAGGGTCCATAGTTCCCCTTCAGGTGGACAGCCGCCCTTACTGCCGGGGTCAACCACCTTCACAACTACAGACCTTAATGCCAAAGCTATGGGCAGCTACTTTACAAAAACCCTATAGCTTGCAGCTTCCTTGTGATTTTTTTAATAACTACTGCCATATTTTATTTCTTCTCAAACAAAATGTCAGCTGACCCCACTGGAAAGTCTAGATTTTTGTCTACTGAGACAGAGTGTAGAAAGAACCACATTATCAGAGCTACAAACTACTGAGTCAGGGTTCCACCTGTAAACTTGTATATATCTCTCCAACTTTTATTTATCTACCTATTTATGGATCCCATTTAGTCTCTACGGGAGTAAAGACTACTCTCCTGGGGACCTTTTATGATTGCTCTGTGGCTCTAGAGGTAAATTTGGGTTTTAATATTCCTGTTTCAGAAGTTTTGGGTGTCTCTAAAAGTGGAGGTTAGGCCCCACATAAGGTCAGCATATGCCCCGCCCCCCTGCTATAAAATTAACATTGTGGCCACCTTTGCTTTGTTGCTGCTTTGTCACTATATGAAGCAACTTTTCAGACCTTTCCAGCAACTTTATTCACTACTGATACACCTAAATTAAAAAACAAAATGTTTTCATTGGTTTGGGGACCTAAATTTCTATACTTGGTTGATTTTAATTATTGATTAATAAAACATAGGCCTGTGGTTTTTACACGTTCCTTAATGTTCCTAAATGGTTTTCCTGATGGAAGCGAAGTAACAGCTGATAGGATAATGGTCGATCTCATGAGTCTGCTCTGTCCCAGTGGTTCTGGAGAGTCCGGTCCGATTCAGCTCCCTGAGGAACAGGAGCAGTTTTTAGACCCTCTTCTCCAAGTGGGAGGTGTTCTCGGTCCAGAGGAGATGAGAAACTCCCACCTGCAGGAGTGAGGGGTTGGAAGACCTCCTGTAGAAAACCATGACCAATTATGGACCACCTTGGCCCATTATAGACCACCATGGCCCATTATAGACTACCATAACCAATTATAGACCACCACGACCCATTTTAGACAACCAAGACCCATTATAGACAACCATGGCCCATTATAGACAACCACGACCCATTATAAACCAACATGGCCCATTATAGACAACATGACCCATTATAGACAATCAGTGTTGTGCCTGAACGCGTTCATTGAACGAAAGTTCACTCGTTCATATTTTGGGCGAACGTGAACTGAACGTACTGCATTATTGCCTGGTGAACGTTATTGTGAACTCGTTCATTCTGGCGTCTGTGAACGGCAGCTCTCTCAGTTCAACTCCGTTCAATAGGTTGCCAGATTTCTATAAAGCCCTCCAGGCGAAACCCCGGCTAAATCACACCGTAAACAGGCCTTAATATGTAGCGGGAAAAACACCCAATCTGGCAACACCAGCTACCAGCGTCGTAGCCTACAGCCGCGTGCGTCATCAAAACAAAATGCAGCGTGGAAGCAACAGCAGCATGGAGGCGACTTAAAACAGGTTTATGACCAGGTGTTCGGTGAGGATGATGGCAACAAGTTTGCCCGCCGGCTTTCAGTAAAAAAATCCGCACTTCAGTAACCTTAAATTCCTACCTCAGCCTGGTCCCTCAGTTTGTGTTAGTAAAATCTTCTTGAGCGGAGGTCTTCAACAGGGGATCCGCGACCCCTAGGGGGTCTACGGAGGTACTGCATGAGGGTCTGCATGGTTAGTTGATATTTTTATATTCCCCCCCTGCAATTTTTTTCCCCCACTAATTGAAATGTCTTTAAATACTCATTAACATGAAATCAACGCACTGTAGTAAACAGATAAATGGAGGCAGAAGATGTCTTTCAGTCATCAATGCTCACATTCAGCGACACACAGGAGCTCTTTCAAGCTGGGCACCGTTTCCTTCACAACACCTGTCCCATCAACCAGGAATCAGAATCAGAAAAACTTTAATAATCCCAGGGAGAAATTAATTTCTTTACATTACTCCATCTGTAATAGAGTGACTATAGGACACAATTTCATACAATATATATAAATAGGGGGTCCCCGCTCCATCTCGCCATCAGTTTGGGGGTCCTTGGTCTGGAAAAGAAGACCCCTGTTCTTGAGGGTTTTACTATCCATGTAACTTGTTTGTTAAACCTGCCTGGTATAATTTTCCAGGATTCCTTTTTAGTATGTATTGAAATGGAATTTCAAATGGAAAAAATTATAAAAAAAAAAAAAAAAACATTTGCACCTTAAAGACTTTTTTCCTATTTTTCTTTTAATAATTACTCATAAAAAAGACCATTCAAGTAGCACATTTTTCCTGATGTTTTTGATAATATACTGTAGGGGTGAAAGCTGCAGCTGCTACTAGTGTGAAGTGAATGGACAGCAACGAAGCATTAAAGCAACAAAGGGGAAATGCTGTCCCCTCAATGCTAATGTAAACCCTGGTTGGATAAGGATTCAAAACTGGATATGAAGATGAAATTTGACGCACAGTGTCAGTGTTACAACTGATAAAATAATTGCTGTCTGTGGTTCTACAGTAGGCTATGGTGTAATTGAGCAATATATGAAAAAAAAAGAACTATGAACTAGTTCGTTTTTTGGAATTGTGAACTATGAACTGAACTAGTTCATTTTAAAATGTGTGAACTGAACTTTGAACTAGTTCACGTAGAAAGAGAACTTTCCCAACACTGTAGACAATCATAACCCATTATAGACTACCATGACCCAGTACAGACCATCATGACTGATGACCAATTATAGACTTCCATGACCCAGTATAGGCATCCATGAGCCATTGTTGACAACCATCAACCAGTAGGACCACCAATGAACCATTGTAGACCACCATGACCCATGATAGACCACCATCTTCCATTAAACACAGCCATCGCCCAGTTCAGAACACTGATAGCCATTATAGACTACTATCGGCCAATATAGAACACCAAGGCCCATTATAGTTGATTGTGATCCATTATACATGACCGTGACCTATAATGGCCCACCAAGACACATTATAGACCACCCATCATCCATATGGTCACGTAGGCCGCCTGTGGACCTGGTTGACAGTTGGCTTTTGTATCTATGCTTCTTTTTCTATGTCTGCTTCTGTCTCCTTGAACCCCAGTGGGCCTCAGCAGATGGCCGCTCACACTGAGCCTGGTTCTGCTGGATGTTTCTTCCTGTTCAAAGGGAGTTTTTCCTCTCCACTGTCACAACAAGCATGCTTAGTGTGAGGGATTGCTGAAGAGTCAATGAGTCGAAGCAATCAGCTTGTTTTCCTTAGATAGAAAAGTTTGAATAAATCTGACTGGATGATCTGGTTGATGTGGATCTATAAAGTGACCTGAGATGACATGATGTGAAGTCCACTGTTACCTCCTGTAGACCACATGACCTCCTGTAGACCACTGTGACCTTCTGTAGACCACCATGACCTCCTGTAGACCACTGTGACCTTCTTTAGACAACTCAGACCTTCTGTAGATAAGTGTGACCTCCTGTAGACCACATGACCTCCTGTAGACCACAGTGGCCTTATGTAGACCACCATGACCTGCTATGCAATGTTTATGCAGCACCCTGATTTGTGGTTCTTTTCAGGGTGACTCCGGCGGCCCACTCATGTGTAAACAGGATGGATCTTGGTTCCAGGTCGTCGTTCTGTTTTTTGTTGGCATCTCTACCAGACCAAGAAGACAAACTCCTCTGATGGTCTTTGAAAATCTGAATCGCTTTGAGGACTTCCTGCTTCAGTCTCTGGGGACATTTCTGAGTCCGACCATTCGAGAGAACAGCACCGTCACCAACGGCACTGTCGACTCCACAACTGCAACCATCATGACGACCAGTGGAGGGACTCAGACCCACATGTCCTCTGTCTTCTGCCTGTCTCTACTTGTGGTGTTTTTTCTCCAAGTCTTTCTGTAGAAATGTCCAACTCCACCTGTTACCCGTTGCATCGGAAAAATGACTGTAAGCTGTTGTTCAAGGAAGAATCTGCCTGATTTGGACCAATTTCTAAACCTGCTAAGGAATCTTTGAACCTTCTGGTTTCTATCCTCAGTAAGAGTCATGGTAATGCTTTCTTTATTGGGGACCAGTGAAGGACCTGTTTACCTTGCAGCTTTAGAGGTCCCACAACACTTATGTTTCCTACATCTTTGGACTAAAGAGACGAATCAAGCCGCCTTTGGTGAAACAACTTTTTTCTGTGGTTCTGAGACGTCCAAACTTACGTTTCTGTCCCTCATTGATTGGTGTGTTGGTTTTGATGATGGTGTGGTTGGTCTCTGTCTCCTTTATGCTTTGATTAAAATCTGAACCCAGAATCTGTTTAATAAAAATCTACTGAGGAACAATGAGTGCCTGTGGTTCTGCATGTTATAAAAGCTTCACCGTCCAATCAGAACATGGCTGCTGGGCAGAATTACTCCTTTAAATGAATTAAAGCTGAAGTATTCCGATGACACCAGGTCAGTTGTTCGGGAACCATGTTCAGTTGTTCGGCACCAGGTCCATTTTTTGTTTGGCATCAGGTCAAGTTGATGTGCACCAGGTCCAGTTATTTGGCACCAGGACCACTTTGATCTCCTCCTCCATTTTGGATTTGATTCATCTATCTCGTTTACAGAGATATGTATCAAAGGCTTTAAGGCTGCTGGAATAAAATGAACTTTAGCTCTAATTTAAACACTGCTGATCCAATCCTCCATTGTAGCTGCTTTAGGTTTTAACCATTTTCTGGGGACAGTCTTTTAGAAATATAAACCACAGTTTTGTTTTATTTTTTTCAGTGTGCAGTTATTAAATGTTTCCAAAATAGAGGACTGCACATTTAACTCAGATTTTCCCATTAAAGATGTTGTATAAGTGATCAAATCTCTGCTCCCAGAATACTTTGATTACAACTCCAGAAAATGTGAAAATGAAGAGCCTTCTTTGTGCCAACATGTATTTTCATTTCCCTAAAGTCCTCTCTGAGCTAAGGCTAGGGTTGCAACCTTTCTCCCACTTAGAAATCATGGATGGTCTGAAATTATTATTGTAGGTCCATTTCCCCTGGGAGACGCATTATCTAAAAAAAAACATATCACAATAGATTATTTTTTAATTATTTTTTTGTATGATCCAGCTGCAAGTAAGCATTTGAGCAGTCCAGAGGATGAAGAGAGCACATCCAGTTAGTCACAGCCAGGAAAACAGGACTACACTGGAAAACAGGCCAAGCTCCAACATCTAGAAACAAAGGTGTTGATGGCAGCAGCACAGCTGATATTTCTCTCCAGGATGGAGTCACAGCCAAACAGGAACAGACCAGATGAAGCTACTATGAGAAAAAGCAGAGAGAGCAGCAGAGATGGCAAAAGTACTCACTTTCCGTACTTGAGTAAAAGTACAGGTACTTGTGTTAAAAAATACTCTGGTAAAAGTGGAAGTACTGATTAAACTTCTTTACTCAAGTAAAAGTAACAAAGTACAGGCTTGTAAATTTACTTAAAGTATAAAAGTAAAAATAGAAACCACTTTTTTCATGCCGTTGCCTACATTTTAAATGGATGTCTGCCAATAGGACTAGATCTCCGTTGTGTTCATTTTCAATCATCTTGTCGTCCATGCTACTATGCTAACGCCACCGCCACCAAGCTGCAATGATTTGCCGCCAATGAATACCGCCGAATCTGTTGATTCATCTTGTAGTGGTGCGTCAAATGCAACGTAGATTCCCATCCAATTAGGTTGAATTTGGTATTGATGACGTGAAAAATAATAACGGTAACTCCATTGAAATTATTCAAAACTAAAGTAACGAGCCAATTTTTTAAAATGTAAGGAGTAGAAAGTACAGATATTTGTGTGAAAATCTAAGGAGTAGAAGTAAAAAGTTGCCATAAAAATAAGTAGTAAAGCAGTGGCGGCTGGTCAGTAGGGGGCGCTTGGGCGCCGCCCCCTTTAAATTGTTTGGATAATAAATGATTTCTGAACTGCAAAATACTTAGAAATATATTTATTCCTACTGTGTGTCGAATAGAAATGTTAAATTTATTAAAATAGTAAATACATAATTCTATTTAATTGCTCACATTGTACACACTTCCTATCCTGCAGGGCGCCGTTCTAATGAGAGTGTATGTAGGCGCATCAACTTGTGGCAAGCAGGTGATCTGAGGCTGACTTTTAATTGGTTATTTAAGGTTTTCAGCAGGGCGCAGCGCTCTGCGTCCCGGACACACCCATTCTGTTGTGTCATTACTAGTAGAGTGTCAGTACTGGCTAATTTTTTTTTAAAACATTGTGGGATTGGACAATCCCCGATTTGACTCATTAGCGCAGCAGCAGCTGCAGTTCGTTAGGTCGATTCACGTTTACGTTTGCAAAGTGGAGTGGTTTACAAAAAAATGCTTTTACAAAACGTTCACTTGAAGAAAAAAACAGGATACTCAGTGTAGAAGACCATGAAAGGATTGCTGCAGAGGTGACTTGTTGTGGAAAATCACTGTTACAATGGTTTATAGTACTGTTATTTACAGAGGCGTGCACAGACATTTTGGGGGGCAGGTGCTCAGGAGGGGGGGCGGGGCACTTTTTAGCGCACGTGGAACACTTAATTATAAAAAAAAATACATGCATGTTGAATGAAATTTGACTTTTATTTGTAACATTCTCTAAACGTGAGTTTTCAATGAAAAAAAGTCACACCACCAACAGAACAGACTAAAGCTCATCTTTCTTTTTCTTTCATCTGGCTCATCTCCCCGTTTTCCCTCATCCATCTGCTCTCCCTCATCCTGGTCTTTTTCTGTCTCTGTGTCTTCCCTGAACTCTTCCTCATCTCCTGTCCTGGTAGATGTTGATGGTATAGAGCTTCCCTGCTGTGACTGGCTACAATATAATAATAATAACCATCATGACAATAATAATGATAATAATAATAATAATAATACGGTAATAATAATAGCTTTAACAAATATGCCACATTAGTTTAAATAATGGGCTATTAGGGCAACATGACTGGAAGTCTTGTCACGTGGATATGACTTTTGGTAGCCTACAAAATAATAGCTATTTTAATACCTGCTGCACAAACCACTTAAAAATAAAATGTGAACAGCTTTTAAGATTTTTCAATATGATTAACCCTCCTTTCTTGGCATTGTGCTGCAATTATTAAATCAATATACAATTAAGACAATAAAGTGACCAAAATGTGTTAATTTATGTTGCCTAACAAAACCTATACAACAGAAAATGTTTCTGACTTTAATCTCAGAATTCTGACAGAATTCTGACTTTTTTATTGTCAGAATTCAGTCAATAAAAAAAAAAAACGAGTTTCAAAAGGGCATTTTCTTTGATAAAGGGCAAACTTCTTAGTGCTTTAGCACCACCTAGTGTCTATGTATGCACTGAGCAACACCTTAAAAGCCTATCCAGTGCTCAATCGAGGTAAGCTGAAGACAGAGCTTACTCTCATCTACAGCAAGGAAGAGTTCAAAGCCTGTTGTGGTGCTGTGGGCCTATTCCAACAATCTAGAAGAAGTCTTTTCAGAAACTGTCACGCTCTTGAAGATCCTCATCACCACACCCATGACCACAGCAGAAGCTGAAAGGTGCTTTTCAACTCTGAAAAGAATCAAGACTTTTCTGAGAAACTCAATGACTCAGGACAGGCTGAATGCATTGGCCATGTTGTCCATGGAGAAAAGACTAGTCACAGAGATGACTGACTTTAACAAGAATGTAATTGAGAAATTTGCAGGGCAGAAGGAAAGGAGGGCAAAATTCATGTTCAAATAGTGCTATTTTTTAAGATTTGTTTTGTTTGTTTTTCAGTTGTTTGTTTTGTGTGCGCCCCCCTCAGTTTTTTTAGCACCAGCCGCCACTGTAGTAAAGTAAAGTAAAAATATCAGAAAAATCTACTTGAGTACAGTAACGAAGTATTTGTACTTCGTTACTTCCCATCTCTGGAGAGCAGAACGTTAGAGATTGAACTAACAGATTCTGCAGAGTGGGAGAATAGAGATAGAATGAAGCAGAATGATGAAAAAGGGGTCCCTATGTCCTCCAGCAGTCTAAGCCTATAGCAGCAGAACTATAGAGATAGCTCAGGATAACCTGAGCCACTCTAACTATAAGCTTTATCAAAAAGGAAAGTTTTAAGCCTAGCCTTAAAAGTAGGAAATTCTAAAAAAAAAATAAAAAAAACTCTTAAATAGGGGATTTAAATAACAGGTCCTGGTCAAAAATATTCATTATTTAATTATTATCTGAAGTTTAATCCCATCCAAATGAAGTGACTGACTAATCAGCTTCTTTTTCAGAGACTCTGGTCCAAAGACTATAACTTCTGTTTTGTCTGCATTCAGGAGCAGAAAGTTAAGAGTCATCCAGGTTTTTATGTCTTCAGACATGCCTGTAATCTATGTAATGCAAAATTCACTATGCTAGGTGGGTAACCCAGTGTCCTGTCTGGTGATGTGGCAATAAGAATAATTGTCAAAAAAAGAAAGTGGAGCAGAACGGCTATCGCCATAGTGTTCCAATGATTTATGCATAGAAATCGCTTTATTATAATCATGCAGGGAGTTTTATATATAATATGGACACTGCGATGTTAGCAGAACAGGAAAGGAAAAACAGAAAAAAATAGACCTTTTTAATTATGTTAATAATATTTCAGGGCTCTGGGTTAGGAGAATAAATCATCTTTGATGTATTATAAATGCATCTTACATATTTATATTATCTTTTATGGAATAATTTGAATGATTAATTCCAATCATCATATTATATTCGTATATTTATCTAATGAGTTACACTAAAACAGTCTTTATTTCAGTTTATCAACTTTTCCATTTATCTGATTGGTTTTGATGTGTTTGATTTTTAATTTTAAATCTAAACGGACATATGAACAAGGATGTTAAATTCACATCCAAAATGTTTTATTTAGATAAATGTTTAATTAATACCAGTAACCCCAGTAATGTTTGCCTGGTGTGTATTTTCTATCCATGCAGGCTGCCTGTGTTTCCAGTAAAACCATCAAACTGCTCCTGATTCAGTTGGTTTTAATGGCGGCCGCACTAACTGCTGCCAATCAGCTGTTCAGAGAGACGGTTTATTAAAGGAACTAGTGACTCTCTTAGTGAGCGAATAGGTGTCATCGATGTGAACGAACTCAGGAACCAGTAATAGTTCACTCAGCATCCATCATTATCTCTCACCAGTTTGTGGGCAGCGATTCGTTATTTCATCATCCTTCCTCCCTCAGCAGAAATTCGATGATATTAAGGAAATAAAGGAATTACTGGTCAAACTGACAGGTCAGTGTTTCTGGGCTGCATAAGAAAAGAGGGTGAGG